TTGAATCAGTATCAAGTTCTGTACAGTCTATACATTGAGTATGTGGGGACATCTGTCATTCAATACACATGGGCCTTTGTAATTTTCAGTGTTTTTGTTCTCAACATGTTTCATTTATGTAAATAGCGTTTGTCAGTTTGTACCTGTGGTAAATACCGTTTGTCAGTTTGTACCTGAGGTTAATACCGTTTGTCAGTTTGTACCTGAGGTTAATACCGTTTGTCAGTTTGTACCTGTGGTAAATACCGTTTGTCAGTTTGTACCTGAGGTTAATACCGTTTGTCAGTTTGTACCTGTGGTAAATACCGTTTGTCAGTTTGTACCTGAGGTTAATACCGTTTGTCAGTTTGTACCTGTGGTAAATACCGTTTGTTTGTCCGTTTGTCAGTTTGTACCTGAGGTAATATACCGTACCGTTTGTCAGTTTGTACCTGTGGTAAATACCGTTTGTCAGTTTGTACCTGTGGTAAATACCGTTTGTCACCTGTTTGTCGTTTGTCAGTTTGTACCTGAGGTTAATACCGTTTGTCAGTTTGTACCTGTGGTAAATACCGTTTGTCAGTTTGTACCTGTGGTAAATACCGTTTGTCAGTTTGTACCTGTAGTTTGTCAGTTTGTACCTGTGGTAAATACCGTTTGTCAGTTTGTACCTGTGGTAAATACCGTTTGTCAGTTTGTACCTGTGGTAAATACCGTTTGTCAGTTTGTACCTGTGGTAAATAACCTGCGACATTTTGTAGTTGCAGTAAATAAACTCTGGAAATTCGTAGAATAAATACAGGTAAACAATTTGTACCTACCAAAAACACCCGTTGATCATTTGTAAGCAACGTAAATACCATGTGATAATGTGTTTATATTCAATATCTTTTGACGATTTTACCTTCAGTAAACTGCCTCAGATAGTCGGAGCCTACAGGAAACAAACTTAAATAACGCATATCTTCAAAACATACTCACACAAAGTATATAATAATGCAAATACCCGCATGATATGTCTCTATTAAATTCCTATAGCCAAGCGTCTCCTTCAGTTATTTCTCTCAGACGATATGTTTCTGCAGAAAATTCCATTCCAGTATATGTTTCTGCAGTAAATTCAATTGGACAATATGTTTCTGCAGTAAATTCCATTAGACAATATATTTCTGTAGTAAATTCCATTAGACAATATATTTCTGCACTTAATGTCATTAGGCAATATATTTCTGCAGTAAATTCCATTAGACAATATGTTTCTGCAGTAAATTCCATTAGACAATATGTTTCTGCAGTAAATTCCATTAAACAATATGTTTCTGCACTTAATGTCATTAGACAATATATTTCTGTAGTAAATTCCATTAGACAATATGTTTCTGCACTTAATGCCATTAGACAATATATTTCTGTAGTAAATTCCACTAGACAACATGTTTCTGCACTTAATGTCATTAGACAATATATTTCTGTAGTAACTTCCATTCGACAACATGTGTCTGCACTAAATGCCATTGAACAATAGTTTTCAGCAGTCAATGACCTTCCACTATACATGACTCTGCATTAATTGCCCTCAAGCAATATGTTTCACCATTAAATGCCCTTACCAAGTATCTTCTGCAGTAACTGCTCCTAGACAACATGTTTCTGCAGCAAATGTCCGTAGACAATTTACTTCCTCAGTAAATGCTCTCATATAGTATGTTCTTTTAGATAATGCCGGCTTACACAATATGTTTTGGAGTAATGTTCCTGCAGAAAATGCCCTCAGACAATATGTTTCTGGATTAAATTCCATTAGACAGTATCTTTCTGCCGCAAATGCCCGTAGACAATATACTTCTGTAGTTATGGCTCTCATATAGTATCTTCCTGCAGAAAGTGCCCTTAGACAATATACTTCTGCAGTAATGGCTCTCATATATTATCTTCCTTCAGAAAGTGCCCTTAGACAATATACTTCTGCAGTAATGGCTCTCATATAGTATCTTCCTGCAGAAAGTGCCCTTAGACAATATACTTCTGCAGTAATGGCTCTCATATAGTATCTTCCTTCAGAAAGTGCCCTTAGACAATATACTTCTGCAGTAATGGCTCTCATATAGTATCTTCCTTCAGAAAGTGCCCTTAGACAATATACTTCTGCAGTAATGGCTCTCATATATTATCTTCCTGCAGAAAGTGCCCTTAGACAATATACTTCTGCAGTAATGGCTCTCATATAGTATGTTCCTTCAGAAAGTACCCTTCAGAAAAGTGCCCTTAGACAATATACTTCTGCAGTAATGGCTCTCATATAGTATCTTCCTTCAGAAAGTGCCCGTAATATATTTCTGCAATATCTTCCTTCAGAAAGTGCCCTAGTATGTTCTGCCCCTTAGTAAATACTTCTGCAGTGATGGCTCATAGGACTTCCTTCAGAAAGTTGTTTCTTCTGCAGAAAGTGTCAGTTTGTTTCTGCAGAGAATGTCCTTAGAAGTATGTTTCTGTTGTAAATACCCTTAGCTTGTTTCTATAGTAAACGGGACTAGACAGGCCGTTTCTGCAGAATTCCAAAGAGACAAAATGACCCTGAAGGAAAGTCTCTCTTGATATAGTCTCAAACAAAACCACAATCTGTATTAAGATAACACATTCGTCTCTCTCTGGTTAGTAGAGGAAGAATACCTCCCTTCAGTAACTGGGCACTGCGTCACAGACGTCCTTCACCCTACTAAATGGCCGTCATATTTCTATTTTCAAACCAAGCAAATGATCTCTGACTTCTATAATACGATTGCATTGATAACAGCCATTGTCACCAGGAAATAAATCATGTTCATGTATGTCATATGTAGATATCGGAATGTAGGCAGCAGACCCCTGACGGCGATATCTTCATCTTTCTGCCTTTGAAGCTTGTATTCACAAGGCGAGTCGATGCTGTACACTTGCGCCAATCACCCTCTTTATAATAACAATTTGTGAGCGAGCAATCGTGAATATTATGTCTGGACAAAAACCCATTACAGCAGCCAGGTGTGACGAGCAGTCATCCCTCGCCTGTATTAGCAAATAGATGTGAAAAACAGCCGTTTTATACTCCCTGCACAATCCCGCCACCGACCGGCCCTGTACACGGCGTCTAGCTGCTAATTTGATAAAGGGTGTATTTACATTAGAAACCAGTTAAACTTCATCAAGTTGCAATCATGATGGTGACATTTGTCTCGGATTGAAGAATAACGACCCTGTTCGATGGCTGAGCGGTAGTCATCAGACACGTACACTGCATCCCTATGTTCAATGATACGCAACAGCTACATTGTGGGAGCCCCACTTGAAAATCAGGACGCTATTTCAAGTTTCTGCTTACTTTTCTGTCATGTTCCAATGAATTTTAAACATGATGAATTATGTATTATATTCGCTCGGTAAAATAGGACCGATGTTCTCTAGCGGTGTACGACTGGCGCGCACTTTATTGTTGTTTGTAAGGCTGGGGTGTAACAGTTTATAAGTTTGGAAATATACATATTAGAGAAAATACGGAAACAGTATTTTACCACAATGCTTTGTTCCTAACAGTAAATCTAATCTCTTGGAAGTCTATATATCTGTCACACATGATCAGTAGAGTATATTGGCTGTCTTCATCATGCTCACTGAGGTATACTAACTGTATGCACCATTTCTATTGGATCGTAATGAATATACCCTGCAAGTATAATTGGTTGCCATGGTTATTGATTATTAATGAAAATATAGTAAATGTATTCAAGTATAAGGATCATGTCTATCATGTTCAGTGGAATACTCTGAAGGTATTCACCATGTTTATTGAAGTACAGTGTATATTTAAAATTTCGAGTACATTACACCGTAGTGTTGTATATCGTTTATTGTGATATATTGACTATAACTACAGTGTTTTGTAAAGAACATTGGTGTTATACATCGTGTTTATTGTGGTATATTAACTATAACTACCGTGTGTTGTGAAGAACATTAGTGTTGTACATCGTGTTTATTGTGGTATATTGACTATATCTACCGTGTTTAGTGAAGAACATTAGTGTTGTACATCGTGTTTATTGTGGTATATTGACTATATCTACCGTGTTTAGTGAAGAACATTAGTGTTGTACATCGTGTATAGTGTGGTATATTAACAATAACTACCACGTTTATTGGAATATCAAGAAAATATCCATCATTTTTATTGGAGTATACTGAAAGTATTCCGCCAGTATGTCGAAGTGCAATGACCATATTTATCATATTTATTGAGGTACATTGCCTGTGTCCACCATGTTGGAGTTTTCGATATGTCCTACATGTTAAGCGGGTATATTTTCCTTTTCAACCATGTTTGTAACTGCTGTTGACTATGCTTATTGGACAATGGAGGCCTTATCCATAAATGTTAATTGCAATACACAATGTATCACAATGTAAGATGAACTGTAATGGTGCGGAGTCAGCACTCAAAATTACTTCTCAATAGTTTAATTTCTAATTTTAATACTTTTAAAAGTTAAGAAAAACCTCACATTATATAGAAATGCTGAATGGTATCTGACATCTTATCTTTGAACAAAAATGCATTTTGTCAAGCATGGTACGGGTGATCCGGCTGCAGATTATTTCGACTTAAACAATTCATTTTTACAGAGACGAACTTAGCCACAGATTACTTGTACAAACTGTTGCAGGAATGAGAGCTGGTTAGGTACACACAGACACAAATTAACAAGTGCTAATTTCCAATTAGACAGAAAAAACCTACTATATAGTAAACGGGACAATGTGCTAAAGAGTGAGGTTTGTAGTGAGGTTGACGAAAAAATGTTTTTGTGATGATACATGTATTTCTGGTCCTGTTTGTAGAACATGATTTTGTATAAGAAGCTCTGCCAAAACAATATCTGTCCTTTGTATGATTCCGACTTTTCAAACATTATAAATTATTGACAATACCCATGTGTTCGTGGAAAGGAGAACGCATGCTGTCCTTGGGTGGCATCCATCACACTAACATGCAAAGGCAAGTCAAGACTTCTCTTGAACAATGGCGTTGACAGAAGCATGTTGTTTCCTCAGCAATATATGTTTAACACTTTAATTTTGACAAATTGCCATGGCCCTTTGAAGATAGTGTTGCAACTAAGTTTGTGGTAAGCACTACTCTGGTACAACCCCTACGGATCACCACAGCCCTGGAACAACCCCCACGGATCACCACAGCCCTGGTAAAACCCAACTGATCACTACAGCCCTGGTACAAGCCCCACGGATCACCACAACCCTGGTAAAACCCCCACGGATCACCACAGCCCTGGTACAGCCCGCTTAACCCCCACGGATCACCCCCTGGTAAACCCCACGTACAAACCCTGGGTACCCACGGGTCCAACCCCCCTGGTACGGATCCACAGCCCTGGTACAACCCCTACGGATCACCACAGCCCTGGTAACAACCCCACGGATCACCACAGCCCTGGTAGACCCAACGGATCACCACGGACAGCCCTGGTACAAGCCCCCCCCATGGACGGATCACCACAGCCCTGGTAAAACCCCACGGATCACCACAGCCCTGGTACAACCCCCACGGGTCCCCACAGCCCTGGTAGAACCCCCACGGATCACTACAGCCCTGGTACAACCCAACGGATCACTACAGCCCTGGTACAACCCCCACGGATCACCACAGCCCTGGTACACACGGATCACTCAGCCCTGGTACACCCCACGGATCACTACAGCCCTGGTACAACCCCACGGATCACCACAGCCCTGGTACAACCTCCACGGATCACTACAGCCCTGGTACAACCCCACGGATCACTACAGCCCTGGTACAACCCCACGGATCACCACAGCTCTGGTACAACCCCACTGATCACTACAGCCCTGGTACAACCCCCACGGATCACCACAGCCCTGGTACAACCCCCACGGATCACCACAGCCCTGGTACAACCCCCCACGGGTCCCACAGCCCACCACAGCCCCCACGGATCTGCCCTGGTACAACCCCCACAGCCCTACAGCCCTGGTACAACCCCACGGATCACCACAGCCCTGGTACAACCCCCACCCCCACAGCCCTGGTAAACCCCCACGGGTCACTACAGCCCTGGTACAACCCCACGGATCACCACAGCCATGGTACAACCCCACGGATCACCACAGCTCTGGTACAACCCCCACGGATCACCACAGCCCTGGTACAACCCCACGGATCACCACAGCCCTGGTACAACCCCACGGATCACCACAGCCCTGGTACAACCCCCACGGATCACCACAGCCCTGGTACAACCCCCACAGCCCTGGTACAAAAACCCAACGGATCCCCACACAGCCCTGGTACAACCCCACGGATCACCACAGCCCTGGTACAACCCACGGATCACCAGCCCTGGTACAACCCCAGGGATCACCACAGCCCTACGGAAACCCCACGGATCACCACAGCCCTGGTACAATCCCCCACGGACCACCAAGCCCTGGTACAGCCCCCACGGATCACCACAGCCCTGGTACAACCCCATAGCCCTGGATCAGATCACCTGGTACAACCCTCTACAGCTCAGCCCTGGGTACAGCCTACAGGATCACAACAAGCCCACGGATCACCACAGCCCTGGTACAACCCTACCCCACAGCCCTGGTACACAGCCCTGGTGGTTAAACCCACGGGCCCCCCACAGCCCTGGTACAACCCCACGGGTCATCACAGCCCTGGTACAACCCCTACGGATCAAGGCATAATGGACAGTATCCAGTGGTGAACTAATTCCTAACTCCCCGAACGCTCGATAATGAATTTATCACCCAGTGAGTTGCATTATACAGCGAGTGAATGAGCGATTGCGTTGTGTTTAGCGCCATTCCAACAATATCACCATGGCCTCAATATGGCTTTCAAACCAATGGTTGACAGCAAGAACAACGATTGATGCCACTGGGGCAGGATGACATACAATCAACACGTTGTCGTAGTGCAAACCCCAGGTCCTCATTGTAAGCGACTCATACAAAGAGCAGCCCAGTCTAGGTTAGAATACAGGTCCCAAATCCCATGCTTACAGAAAGAGGTTACGACATTGATCAAGTGGACGGTCTCAGTGATTTGTCAGATTGCATGTAATTGTGTTCAAATTGGGTGGATCGATTCCCATGATGTCAGCCACTGGATTGTTTTGACTCGATTATTTACAAAACGTCGTACAGAATACACATTGATGTGCGAAGCTTTTAACTAAAATAAGACTACAAGCCTACCTAACACTTCACCCAAATCTGCAACCGCTGGAATATTGTTAAAAACACCGAAAACCATATTCACTCACTCACTCGGCGCCGTGAGAGTATTGTTAAAACAAAACAATATTCACTCACTCACTCGGCGCCGTGAGAGTACAAGGCATTGCTTGATTTCATTAAAATGTACAAATACCGTACTTCCTGTCCTGGAGGAAATCACGGTGTGTATTGTAAACAATTGAATTAATGTAATCATTCAAAATTTATGAGAAATATTTCCGGAAATGTTGATGGGAAGTCAGTTATCATTCGATCACTTTTGGATGCACTTTTGATTTTAAACCACATAAAAGGCGGACTGTAAGGTAGAGGCTAGTGATTGGCTGTGACGCTAAGACGGTATAGGATTTCCTGTCTACGTTAACTAAAACGATGTTGTAATGACGTCAATCAGTGTTTGATAATATAGCTGGCGACGCCAGTTAAAGTATGGAATCAACGACTCTCTTGATGTCAGAAAGATTATTTCCGTTGTTGAAAGGGGAGATAAGCGAAGCATGTTTTAGAACTGGAGGGCAAACGTTTCACATGGGCATAACGGGGACGTGAAGCGTAACGTGTTGATATTATCGTGACAAATTTAATTGATTTAAAGAACCAGTGATCTTACACTTACTTGCGTTGTCTACTTACCGGTGTGATTACACAGGCTGATAAACCCAGCCAAAAATGTGTGAACAGCAATTCATCTCCGGTTCAGCGAGGTATCATGTCGTCTGCTCATGAACTGTATGACGTCATCGATATGGGTCACGTGATGTCATGACCGGATATGTTATCGGGTAGATTTTTGAACTGATATTCGGCTCATTTTACCTCATTTCCTCGTAGTGAATTGAAATGGTATTTTCTAAAAATATAAACCGTTATAGCGTGAGGTATATGTTATCAGGTCGGACATCTTGTAAGATACACAGATAAACAAGATGGAAATCTGTGATGATATAATCATGATGATATGATTATTTATATATTTCCTTTCAGGTAAATAATTACAAAGAATGAATCAACACTGTATGTGTACCTCTCAAGATAATTTAAAGAACGCCCACAACTGGAAACTGTATTGCGTAACCTACCACCGTTCACAGAGTAACTATATTCTTGTGAAAAATATGTCATTTACTCTAACCTTTTTTGAGTAGTATACAAAGTGCCTTCATCAGTATGCTCTGCTGGATGAAACATTGCCCAAGCGACGTTACATGATAACTCACTCGTACTTCGGTGAGCGAGTGAAAGAGTTTAGTTTTACGCCGATTTTAGCAATATTCCCGCAATTGTCACGGCGAAAGACACTAGAAATGGGCTTCACATATTGTATCCATGTGGGGAATGGAACCCGGTTCTTCGGCGTGAGGAACGAAAGCTTTAACCATTAGACTACCTCACCGCCCTAATTCAGTAACGAAGGCTGCATTTGTAGCATGTACCGTAAGATCACTAGATATATGTGAGTGAGTTTAGTTTTACGCCGCACTGAGCAATATTCCAGCTATATGGCGGCGGTTGGTAAATAGTCGAGGCTGGACCAGAAAATCCTGTGATCAACAGCATGAGCATCGATCTGCGCAATTGGGTACCGATGTCATGTGTCTACCAAGTCAGCGAGCCTAACCATCCGATCCCGTTTGTCGCCTCTTACGACAAGCATGGGTTACTGAAGATCAATATTCTAACCCGGACCTTCACGAGAAGGCTATTTGTGTCTGGTATAGGGACACACGTACAGTAGAGCTGAAGGCCTGGCTAACTTATATACTAGTACATCTCTAATGTTCACATCATATAAGCGAGTGAATGAGATGGGTTCTACCGCGCTTTTAATTGGATCTCAGGTACACCACTTATCAAATGGAACACAAGGATATAAATTTTCAAAAATTACTCAGTTGAAATGCTTCAACCATTTCATGTACACATGCAACACGCAACAGCGATAGAACTGTCTCACAGACCCGAGAATACATTTAAAAAAAGAGTCCACTCAAGTTTGAATGACCGAGCAAGACTAGTAGTGTGCCTCAGCTCGACGTTGATATTAACAAGATTCCAGAAATTAAATCAAATTAGATATTTGCAGATTTGGTTAGTCCCTGAAATTTGTAATTGTTCGTGGCTCTTTTAGATTTTAATTACTTAGTTTTAGGAGATATATGTGTTTGATAAGATAACTTTCTTTCTGGGACTAAATCTCAATCTAACCAGACATATTCATGTGAGTTTCCAATAACATTGTTTAAGTAACATCAAGTGCAGTAAGATCATGACTCTTTTAATGTTTGAACTATACTATACGACATTTAGCCCTGTTGATATTTCTACTACATCACGGTAGAAGTTTGTGGTGGAACTGAAATAATACAGACCCACAAATGGAAATCATATGAAGCTACATTCAAGTCTATAATTAAAAGGTTAATGATTATAGAATCGGAATTGTTCTGGAGATGTTCCATAGGTATTGAGTGGGACACAATGGTGCTGTCTTAACATTACGGTAAACTTTAACAGCATGCTGCATTATTTGACAAATAAATTGATACTTAACTTAAATACAAACGACCAATATTAACAGCTTAAAAACTATAATTCATGATCTAGATAGAATTAATTGAATAAAATAGAAAACTGAACTTAGGCCTAATTAAACCTAAACGGAACAAGTACAGTGATTATTCGGGACACCTTATACAGAAAGAGTATACATTTTTCATGTTACGAGATATAGTTATGTATGTGATAAAAGTCATTATCTTGAAGGGGTATAACTAACAGTACCATATATCTCAAGGGCGTCAGAATTAAATAACCCCTCATTTAGCAAATACTTGGACAATTGAGATCGAAATCCTTTAAACTACGAGTTTCCATCAAATATCGATTTTCAACATTTTTGATTTACCATGAGTTTGGAATGTTCACACATATCTAAACGGTCTTATCACCGTCTCTCGGGCATTCTAACGGGGTATCATATGGCGGATTCCTCAACCGTGAATAGTGATTGAATCCCGATAAACTATTGTCATATATCATCAACAAAGAAAACTATGCTTACAATTTTCTGGTAATTGAAACCCAGGAAAGCAAATTTAGAGCATATTATGACACAGAATTCTGTCGAGTTCCAATAGGTCTAAGGAGTCTGTGAGATAAGGACGGAGGAGAACAATGACTATGTGCTAATTGGTATTGGGCATTTATACGAGCCTATCGATGCGATGGTTGGGTCGTGTCGGTAGTTTAACGAACATATCGGCCAGCGACGTAAACGATACGTCGCTTATAATCAAAGTTGTAAGCAGGTGACCAATTTAGAGCGAACTCTACACCTATAAGGTATTGGTGACAATTTGGGCGTCACAGAGCAGTAGAATAAAATATGCTGTGAACTCCAGTCTATTGATTGACCCTGTGACACGTTCTCATGAGTCTCGCCACTTCTCGTGGGACCCGAGACGGGCCCAGAAAACTACCAACACATGAAACAAAACATGACAAAGAAAATGTACACTTTTTAGATGCTTTTCACGAACACGTTATGCTTGTATCGAAGTTTCTTTAGAAATGCTTGGGTAGTTTCACGCAATTTGATTACCGCTAAATTAGCAGAAAGGGGAGCCTCGTTCTCGTGCTGTGGTTCGGCAGAATATTGCTCTGTTTATTCAGGTAGGCTGATAGACTTTCACGTTTTTGTTTAGAAATTGTCAAAACGATTCAGAAAGATATTTTATGAATATGTGGCGTTGTTGAGGTATTTAGTGCTTCTTTGGTTACGTACCATGCGACAGAGCCTCTGATTATGTTATTAAGACTTTAAATAATCTTTGGATATGTCATTAATTCAGAACAAAGAATGGGATTTCTATGGGAATTTTTATTTTAAACTCAATGCCATTGTGCAATGATATTGTTGTCATCGAAGCTCATCTACATCATGTTGTTGAGTTGTTGTTGCAAATCAGCTATTCTACATGCATAGCAGCGTGAACCACATGACTCGTGTATTGTATTCCATCATACATGCACCAGGAAGGCGTTTATATCATCATTACTGCATTATACGTTAAAGAAAATTAGTTAGAAAAGGTATTCATAATACTACATAATTACAAATGTTTTGTGCAGATAACTGTTGTTTTATACAGCATCTAATGTATTCTAACAATATGATAGCTTAACAAAATGTACCACGACTGGTTTGATCATCGGCAAACTTTATATTTATAAATTAGCATTTATGATCAATCTAGGGCTTTCGAGTGTTACAATGATAACTAATACATATTACTTATCATAACTAACGATTTTGAAGCTTGTTCTGTTACTTTTAGGTTGGTTTTCTGACACGCCGAGCAATACTTGAACAACTACACAAAATTAGTCTCACTCACTAAATCCACAAATACTAATCTGATCCACCGCGGTATAGCTGGAAGTTCACATTTATGTACAAATAGCG